TGGTCTAGCAAAGTGAGTTTGTTTGAAATTTAAACTCACTTTCTTCGGCTATATTTCATCCACTACATTTTGTTTTATCTACAAATTAACTTAAATTTGGAAATGAATTCACTCAAACTTGAATTTAAACAAAGATTCAAATCAACCTTTATTCAAATCCTACCCTCATGCTTCCATAAATTGATTATTTTAGGAAAGCAAAGCCATGGAGTAAAAGCAAGTTTGGCCCTCTTCTCCTTTTCCAATAACACTAGGAGCAAGAGCCATCACCTATCGAAGTAGTGGCAATCGACAATTGAGCGGCAACAATCACTAATTGAAATAACAACAATCATCAACCAGAGGCCTTTCTTTCTTTCTTCATAATCTGACGATGGAGCAATAACAATTGCCAACTGGAGGCTTTTTTTCTTCATAGTCTAAGAATAGAGCAATAGCAATTACCACCTTAGAGCAGCAACATCCTTCAATTGCAACAACTTTGTCCTTCCTTTTCTTTTCTAACAATAGCTTAAACTAGGTAACCTTCCATGCCCTTCACTTATTTAGTTTTTAGAATGGCCATATTATTTCATTGTTTACTAGACTTTCAATCTTCATTAAATATCTTTCAAATGATCCAACAATCATGTCATTTTGTTTTCATTTTTGTCCACATGTTGTTACCATTTTTTTTTTTTAATTATCACATTAGGATAACATGAGTCCTGAAAATTGCTGTCACTTTTGTTTTGGAGGATGACTTTCAAGATTTGCATAGCTGATCACGTGAAATAACCCTTTTTAAATGACTTGCTTCTTATTTCACTTTTCAAGTCATCATTGGGAATTGTCCTCTTAGCAAAGCATCATGGTCCAACCCTTTCTCCCTGCACAACTTATCTCTCTTGTGAACAAGTGCAAACAAAAAATTGTTGCTTAAGGGGTTGACACCTAAAAGAAGGAGTTGTCTCTTTCACCAAATATTCACATCAAAAGTCTATGTTAGGTTTTCATACCATCCTGCAATTGCACCAATAGTAAAACTGTTGATTTCATCCTTGAACTTGCATTCTTCTTTTCTAATTTCTATCCTTTACTTTTATGTAATTTTGCAATTTAGTCATCAAATTTGTGGGTTTTTTCAATTAAGTCCTTTCCATAAACAAATGGAGCATCAATTCATTTTCCAAACCCAACAAGATCGAACACCAACTTTCTTCCCTTAAATCATGAAGTTGACCATGCAATATCAAGACTTGGTACATCGACTAGCTAACCCACAACTTGCTAATTTGATGTAAATAAGTAATTTTGTCCACGATCACAAGATTTGACTTGGACCCAACCATGGTGGTTTTGATTAGGACAAGTTCATGCCGACCTCAACTTAGACATGCTTATCCTATTCTAGACATGCTGACTTTGTTACATCACTAAGATTTAGCACCTGATCGTGAAGATTTTCATCTTGAATTGGAGATTTTGTCCTTGCCAAGAACATAGAGAGTTACTTCTCACCTTAGACATGGAGTTTTGCCTCAACTATGGAGTTCTTACCCCAATCATGGAAACTTCTCCTCTTAGAGATTTTGGCCCCAAATATGAAGCCTTTACTTTGGATTTTAAAATTTTGCCCTAATCAAGGAAACTTCACATTGAACATGAAGGCTTTGCCCTCAATCATTGAGACTTTAATTCAACTTTGGAGTAATTGTCCCAATCATGGAGGCTTTCCTTGCAAATGGAGATTTTGCCTTAAAGTTGGAGATTTTTTGGTCTTATACTTGGAGATTCAATCAAGACTTGGTGATTTGGTGGGACAACCTTTTGAAGCTAAACCATGCAATATGTGACACTCGAAGCACCATCAGCAGGCGTGTGGGAATTTAAGATCTACCAAGCAGGGTGTGAGAGTTAACATTGCAGTAATTGAAGTTACTAGTGTAACTTTGTAACAATTTCTTTCAAGTAGCTTGACGGCTTTTAGACTTTTTTTTTTTTTTTTTGGCTCCTTTTAAAGGATTGTGAAATTTTGGCTTAACTATTCAAATATTAAATGAAGAACTTTTTTTGTGTTCTCTTCCTTAATTGACTTATTCATAATCAAAAAATTTTTTTTTTAAATCTTGTACAGAAAATTGTAAATAAGAAGAATTTCAAGAACATCTTTTTATTGCAATCTATCACGACAAAAGGTGTTGCAAATACTATTTTAGTACAATTTTAGTGCAAATTGTTGCAACAAAAGGTGTCGCAATAGGCAATTTTTTGTGTAGTGACTCCAGCATCTTCGCACATGGATGACAAAACTTTGTCAAGAAAGTTTTGTGGAGTTTGGTATGCCACCGTTTCTCCCTTTTAGTTTCCATTTTGATTTTATTGTAGGAGAAGAGTGCATCCATGAAAGCAAACACTTCATGTCCTATGTTTGCTTCTACTATGAGCTCATCTAATACAATTTGCCCCATTCTTTGAAAGTTTCTAAGGTTGGACTTGGTTGGATTTCATAGGAAGACAACATTGGAACTAGATCAAAAGATCCAAAAGATACCATTGCAACATTGCTTTCATCGGTTCCGTCTTCACTATCCAACTATATCTTCCCTTTCTTCATAAATTCAACAATCAAGTCTTTCAAAATAAAGCACTTCATGACTTACAATTCGATGATAGCTACAATAGTTAAGGTTACTTACGTGTCAAATTTCTTCCAAATGTTTTGAAGGTGGAAGTTTGATCAAGTTTTGTTTTACCAATTGGTCTAGGTGCAAGGCACTTCAAAGTCCATGAATGGGTAATTTTTCTGTCAAAGTTCCTTATGTGTAGCTTTTCTCTTTTAAACTTGATCTTGCAAGATCTCAACACTTGACTTTTGAATTGAATTAGACATTTTATGTAAAACCCCTTTTTAGAGTTATTGTGACTGCTATGGATTCTGCTTTTAAGTGCTCTAACTAGTTCTTGACTATAGCACTTGGTAGGAAATTTTCATGTCTAACCATTTGAATTTTCAAGTTATGGGCTCACGTAGCTAGCTCCTCAAAATTATGTGGCATTTTGAATTTGAAGATTGTATAGAAAGCCCCAATGCATGCCTTGGACACATATGTCAATGAAGGATCTTTCACTAATTTTCTCCTTGTAGTTAAGGACAAGGATGTCTTCATCATTTTATGAAGTCTATGACAGACTTGTCCTTTCTTTGCTTGGTGTTAGGAAGTCCAAATAGAACAATGATATGTTTAGTATTGTAAAAGCGTGTTAAGAATTCCCGCTCTAGTTGGTTCTAATTATCCACCGCCTCAGTAGGATGGTTAGTGTACCATTTGAAGGTTGCATTGTCCAAGGACTGAACAAATTGTTTCATCATGAAGTTCCCATAAGTGCCAACATTGTTGCTTGTTTCGACAAAATGGGCTATGTGTTGCCTTTCCAATTAAACTTCTAAAAATCTGGTGGCTAATAACTACCTAGCATGCTTAGATTCTCAATCTTGTTAGTATAAGACTGTCATGCGCCAAAACCCAAATTCGAGGGTGTAACAAACGTCGTACGCTTGTGAGAGGGTCCCACAAATGCACAAGGCTCGGAACTTTATCATGCCACAATCTGATACCACAAAATTTGAAGATAAAATCATAAAATTTGCTATGATATCAAAAATCTCCAAATAAAGTCTAGCTTACAAGATCACGATTTATATCTAAAATCTATGTTCAATTTACAAGATGGCTAACCTTTTAACTCGTCACTCCCCTCGTTTTTCCTCGTCCTTGACTTCGCTTCTTGAAATGGTGGACAAGGAAAAACTATGAGATAACTCAATAAGTAAAATATGGATTGCCCTTAATTAAACTTATAGCATGCCAACAAATATAATCAAGAAAACGAATATATGTACGGGAATGAAATAGACGTCTCCTCTATAGGTCATGGCCAGCGTTTATAAACCTCCCACTGGTAGGCACACGATTTACTAGTGTATAATCCCACTAGCAGGATAACGGTCACATAAACGAACCGGTTCTATCAGTAACATGTCGACATGTGCTAGCGTTTATAAACCTCCCACTAGCGAGCACACGAATAACATGACCATATCGGAGACAAAATAGGCATAAGTTAACAGGAAAATCATAATTCACAAATAATTTCCAGATCATCAGGGCGGTTAAGTAAACTCCAAGAAGGCATGCTCAAATCAATAAAAAGAATAATACTCTCAATTCAAATCGATCATATTTGTGTAAAACGGGTTTAGTCCCGCCACCACTCCAAAAACAAGTTAAAATGTGCTTTTAAATTGGAGGGCGTTATCATAATTTACTTACCTCACTTGCATAAACCGAGGACTCAATCCCAGTGCTCTAAGCCATAATAGCACCTAATATTCCAAATAAATACATTTAGACTTCGCTAGAATTATTAGCACAACCTTGCAAATTTACTAACCTATGAGCTTTACACGAAATTCAACGATATGACCAAACATCTCAATTTTATTCTCAATATAACTACACATTTAAACCCTCCTATTGTTGGCCATTAGTGCGTGAACAGTGCCCGTGAACAGTGATCACGTCGTGAACAGTAGCTGTAACTTCCAAAAATTGGCAAAACCATAACTAATCTCACTGGATTTTTCTCCAAAATCACAGCAGCCAAAATAAACAAATTTTCTACATGAATTAAGCTCAATTATGCTCTAATTACTACCAATTTTCATCCCCATTTTTCAGCAAAATTCGGACAGCACAGGGCAGCAAATAAATGGACAAAATTCAGCAACTAATTGATGAAATTTCGGGCTTGGAGGAGCTGTCAACATACCAGAATTTTCCCAGCAAAACCGGAGCTGCTGTTTGGGGGAAGGCCGGTGGCAATCTGCAGGGGACTCACGGAATTAACCCAAAATTGGAGAAACCAAGAGGATTTAGAGTAAACCCAAGCCAATTCAAGAAGGAAAAGAGGAATTAATGGCTGTTCTTACCAAAAAAAATCAAAGCAATTTGCCCCCACAAAGCAGGAGCAGCCGGCGGTGAGGAACAGAGCAAAGCATATCCGGAAATTCTTTACAAGGGGGGGATTTCCAAGCTTAAATCTTGTTCTTGAACAAGAAAAGCAAGAAAAAAATCAAGTTTCCTTACCGGTTTTTCAAAGGGAGGTGCGTCGGTGGCTGGGCTTCCTTGCTTGGTGCAGGGGGAAGAAAAGAAGAGCAGAAACGCGAAATGGCTGGGGAAGAAAGAAGGAAAAATAACTGATCCTTATCCAAATCTTTTTACTCTTTTAAATCCCTCAAGTTTCGAATATTCACTATTAGGCCCCAAAATAATATTTTCTCACACAAAATGTAATACCCCAAATTTTTGTGATATTTTAGCATTAAGTGAGGACCTTTGTGAGAGGAAATATGGTTTTGGGACTTAATAGCAAAAGATTTAAAAGTTCAGGAACTTATAGGAGGAAAATCTAGAAGGGTCGGCTACTTTTCTTTTTATTCTTTCTTCTTCTCCAGCCATTTCGTGTTTCTGCTCATTTGTTTCTCCCCTGAAGCTCGAAAATTCCCAGCCACCGCCACCCTTCCATTTCTTGAAAAAATTTGGAAGAAGGCTTGAAATTTCTCCTCCTTTCTTGTTAAATAACAAGATTTAGGAGCTTAGAAACCTTCTCCTCCTGCAGAAAATTCCAGATCTGCTGCTGCCTTCTCCTTCCTTTTGCCGCCGGTTGCTGCTCTTGGTGTGGGTGGCGAAATTTCCAGTTTTTTTAGGTAAGAAACAGCCATGATTTCATCCTTATAGCTTTGATTTAAGTTGGGTTCCTTTAATTTTGGGTAAATCCCGTGAGTTCCTGCAGAATTTCTCCTTCCATGCCGCCGGCCTTCCCCCAAATTGCAGCTCCGGCCTTGCTTGCTGGATTCTGGTATGTTGAAAGCTCCTCCAAGCCTGAATTTCATCAATTAATTGCTGAAATTGTCTATTTAATTATTGCCCCATGTGCTATCCGAATTTTATTGAATTAGGGGGAGGAATTCCGGTAGTTTTAGGACAAAGTTTAAGCATTTATTCAAGTGGAATTTATGTGATTGAGTGTTAATTGACTGCTGTGAGATTTTGGAGAAAAATCCCGTGAAATTAGCTAGTGTTCTGGCTAATTTTGGAAGTGCAGTTACTGTTCACGGGCACTGTTCACGGGCACTGTTTACACACCTAGGGTCAACAATTAACGGAGATTAAATGTTTAGTTTGTGATATAAGAACAAATGTGGAGATTGATAGGAATAGCACCGTGATTAGGAGTAGTGCTAATGATGATTTCATTTTGAATTTGTGATAGTACGATAATTAATTCTTGGATATTTTGATTAGGTTCCTGATCGTTCTGTTAGTTTAGCACTGAGATCGAGTCTTCGGTTTTATGCGAGTGAGGTAAGTAAATTTATGGTAATGCCCGTACAGTTTTTAAAAGCATGTTTTGACTTGTTTTTGAAGTGGTGGCGGGACTAAACCCGTTTTATACAAAAGTAAGTATAACTGATTTGAAGTAAAATTTTTATGCTTTTCATTAAATTGAGAATGCTTATTTGAAATTTAATTGATTGTCCTGATGATTTGAAAGTGATTGGTGAATTATGATTTTTCTGTTAACTTCAGTCTGTTTTGTCTCCGATGTGATCATGTTATTAGTGACCCTGCTAGTGGGGGTTAAATGCTAGCACATGTCGACATGTTACTGATAGAACCGGTTCGTTTCTGTTATCCTACTAGTGGGATTATACACTAGTAATCGTGTGCCTGCCAGTGGGAGGTTTATAACACTGGCCATGACTTATAGAAGAGACGTCTATTTCGTTTCCATACCCATATCTGTTTTTCGTGATTATACTTGTTGGCATGCTATAAGTTTAATTAAGGGCTATCCATATTTACTTACTGAGTTATCTCATAGTTTTTCCTTGTCCACCATTTCAGGAAGTGAAACTAAGGACGGGAAAACCACGGGAAGTAACGAGTTAGAAGGCTAGCCATTTCGAGATTGACATAGATTTTAGATATAGATAATGATCTTGTAAGCTAGATTTTATTTGGAGATTTTATGATATCAGAACAAATTTTAAGATTTTTATCTTCAGATTTTGTGGTATCAGATTGTGGTATGATAAGTTCCGAGTCTTGTGCATTTGTGGGACCCTCTCATGAGTGCACGGCGTCTGTCGCACCTCAAATTTGGGTTTTGGGGCATGACACAAAAACCCTTACTTAAATACTAAAGTATCACAAAATTTAGGGATATTACAAAAACTTAGCATACAAAATTGAAGATTGAGACGTCTTGCTTTGTTGAGCTTGAATCACATCATCAACTAAAAGTTTGAGTTGTGGAAACATAAGGTATGCCATAATAACATTGGTATTTGGTAGTGTCTCAAAAAGCCCTTTGGAGAATGGTTCAATTTAACTGCTCTTACTTTTGTCACTCTAAGCCTCTATGCAACTTGCTTACCATAATTTAGAATCTTCTACGAGTCTTCCTTGTTTTCAAGGGTTTTCTTAGTGATTGACTACTGGATGCTTTTGATTTGATAGGTGTTGAGCTACTAAGAGTTCTTGAAGTTCCTTGATTTGGGCTTCTTTTCAGCCATAGGTTTGAAAAGGTCATCTAGGTACTAGGTATCACTTTAGTGACCAAGGCAGACAGGAAGGACTTGGATGATAAGGAAGGATAGTCGGCACACCTTAACTTTGGAGTAAGCTTCTAACTAGGCTTAAGGCTAATTTCCTTGCCTTCACTAGATTTTAAGGAGAAGTACTCGATATCAATTGTAGGTTGGAAAGGCAATTGGATAGTTGGTGATTGTTTTGTCAGTCTTGCCTCGTTACGACGCCTCCTAATGAACTGCCTCAGGAAGGACACCAACTTAGAATTTGTCATGCGCACCTTGACATACGTTAGCAAGGAGGATTGATTTGAAAATATTTGAATTTTTTGAGTTGCAAGAGGAGTAATGCTTTGCTTTGAGTTCACCATGTTTGGTAGGATGTGATGAAATTTTTCTTGCAATTGAACAATGAGAGTAAAAGATCTTCCTAGTGGAGTTGCCAAAGACATGTAGTCACAAAATCAACAAAAAATAAATAATGTATATTTATTCATAAAATAATAAATAAAAATTGAAATTAATTTGAAAGAAATGGGAAACAATCTCTAGTTTGAAGTGGTGCAATGCATGAGCTCGAACTTTAAGTAGTGGAACGTTTTGGAATGGCATGATCCTCTGATTAACAGTTGGATTTAGAATGATAAGGACTTGAACTTGATCTTGTCCTTTAAAGGATTTGAGGGTTGTCTTTGAGATTTTTCTTTCTTGGTAGAGACTTGGAACTTACCCTTGGTAGGAAGTTGAAAGCTCCATTTGCAACTTGAAATATTGAGAATTATCAAGGGTCTTGAAGCTTGCAATTCTTTGCCTTTTCCTTCTTGTCATTTTTTGGTCAAATGAATGGCTTATTTATAGTCAAAGTAAACTTGCTAAATGGTCTCAAATATCCTTTATTGTAAGGATATTTTAGTCATTTCATAAAAATTTATTTTAATTATAGAGAAAATCTTTCTTTAAATATTTTAATTTTAACAACTTTTTGAATGTCTACAAGTGCCCTCTCAAAATGAATTTACTTGCATATATTTTTCAAAAAAAATTATTCTTTGATATACACCCATTTTTTGGGCCTTCTTTTCGGGTTCATTTTCTTTCCTTTTTTCTTTCTAGTCCGTTTCAATGGGCATTTCTTTTTCTTTTCTTTTCTTTTTTTCCTGAGTCCATTTATAAACTCTCTTTTTTTTTTGTTTTCTTGGTCAGCTTCCGGACTTTCTTCCCTTTATTATTATTATTATTATTA